TAGCATCAGTATTCTGTCAATTAGTTTTTTTGTAGTTAAGCAAGGTAAGTCTGATTTTATGCTGTCATGCTATTGGTGGTTTGTTACTATCTTTCATTCCCTCTCCTGTTTTACAGAAGAAAGCTAAACCTAAACTGGATTTACTTCTTTTATACATTTTCCATATCTCCCTGTTCTTTCTTTTTTTCTTTTTTTAATATTTATTTTTTAGTTTTCGGTGGACACAACATCTTTATTCCATTTTTAAGTGGTGCTGAAGATTGAACCCAGTGCCAAGCACATGCCAGGCAAGAGTGGAACCGCTTGAGCCACATCCCCAGCCCTCTCCCTGTTCAAGATGATCAACAAAAAAATATTAAAGAGCAAATGAACATTCAAAAACTACCTACCATTAAGTAAGCTTTATACAAAAATGACAATTTTAATAAGATGAATTTGTCTAACAGTGTGATGACTTCATGTTGAGAATTATATGTGCCTTCTGAATAAATTTAAAAAATTCAATTCTGCAAATGAAAAATGATCTCAGCTGTATTTTAATTCTTTTTAAATTGTTGATTTACATGAGAATTATCAGAGAACCAGAATGCACAAAATCTGTCCTTTTTGTCCCTGTCTTATTTTATAACTGTGTATTAAATAATTTGTGTGAGTATTTCAGTGGCAGTATGTTAACTGAGAATTTGTTTGTGTCTCTTACTGGGAACCTGGGCCAGGTTGCTGTGGTTTATACTCCAGCATGAACAAGGTGAAACTCTGTGGGCCCGCAATCTTGTTAGGATTTGTGTGTGTGTGTGTGTGTGTGTGTGTGTGTAGACTTTCCATGTTTTCTGATATGTGTTAGTGTGGAACACAAAGTTGGGTACAAAGAAAACAATAACAAATAATTTTTCATTTGCCATAGGTCCCTTGGGCTGGGCCCCAAATCCAAGACCCTTGGTGTTCCATCTCCTTTATTGTTCAGGTACTTTGATATGAATTTTTAAGAAGTTATAAAAAGTTCCCAAGAGAGCCAATCCCTAAAAAAAACAAATGCCAAATGTCATCTTTGATATAAGGAGAGCAACTAAGAACAGAGCAGGGAGGAAGAGCATGAGAAGAAGGTCACCATTAAACAGGGAAGAGAGGGGGGAGGGAAAGGGAGAGAGAAGGGAAATTGCTTGGTAAAGGAAGGAGACCCTCATTGTTATACAAAATTACATAGAAGAGGAAGTGAGGGGAAAGAGGAAAAAAAACAAGAGAGAGAAATGAATTACAGTAGATGGGGTAGAGAGAGAAGATGGGAGGGTAGGGGAGGGGAGGGGGGATAATAGAGGATATGAAGGGCAGCAGAATACAACATACACTAGTATGGCAGTATGTAAAAAAGTGAATGTGTAACCAATGTGATTCTGCAATATGTATACGGCGTAAAAATGGGAGTTCATAATCCGTTTGAATCAAATGTATGAAATATGATATGTCAAGAGCTTTGTAATGTTTTGAACAACTAATAATAAAAAAATTTAAAAAAATAAATAAAAGTTCCCAAGAAAAGTTTCTGTGATGGCAGCCAATTCCCCAGTGATCCCAAGGGTTAGCTACTGATGACATCACACCCATGGCTCTTATAAACATGCAAAATATTTGAAAATAGTCTGTGGTCCATGATGTAAATGAATAATTTTCCTGTTAAGTCACTCAGTCTTTCTTTTTTGCCAAAACATACCTGATTTTGTCTCAGGTAAGCCAATTCAATGACTTTGGATGATGGTTTCAGTCCTGTAAAAAAGTAGGACTAACCGATAAGAATATAGAGCTTTCTGTTTTTAAGGAGCCCCTATTATATTGTCTGTTAAGCATCACAGCAACCCTTGGAAAAATGCTCTGTTAGGTATTATTTTATCTCTTTTTGAAGATGAGAACTTGAGTTCAGAGTGATCAAGTTACATCCTTAAGGTAACTCAGTCCAAAAAAGTAGGGTCCAGGTTTTAAACAAAGTGGTCCTCCTTTGGAGGTCCCACCTTTATACATTGTTCTATTGTTCATCTGGAAAGAATCCCAAGAGAATAGCATTTCTTTGTGAAAAGGGAAAATAAAATATTTACAATCATGGATAGCAGAGTTGGTCCATCCTTAACTGGTGGGCTCTATCTGCCCAGAGTGGTCAGCTTCCACAAACAGATTCCCTTACATACATTTAGAGTTACTCAGTCATTCCCAAACAAGACTGTGAGGTTGATGAAATTTATAATTCTTTTTACAAGTTCTCATCCTCTACATACTTGACCTTGTTGTCTAACCTTCCCTTCTTGTACAATCAGAAGAGAATTTGATAGCAGCCTTTATAATGTGGTTGATGGATTCCACTTTAGGTCAGTGCGAATGAATTTCAGTCATGTGCATTATCTCAGCGAAGCATCTTTGCTCAGCCTTTGGTTTTATCTCTAATGGAAGGCTTTTGGTCCATTAAAATATCATCGTTCAGTAACCAAGTGGTGAGATAATTTGAGGGTGGAAGGCCCTTGAAATAACTCCACAAGTTACTGCACTGAATGAGACTGAGAGAGGGTAGAGATGCCTAAAGTGTTGTTCCTTTGCTTGCTCAGACCTACTCTCCTCTGGTGGAAGTGAAACTAGCAGTGGTCCACACTTGTTGTGGAAGACATTTCCCAGAAGCTCCAAGAGCTTCTGGAAGAACATGTGTCCTGCTGTCATCCTTTGATTCCAAGACTGGAACAGATGTAGCAGGCACATGTGTTCCACCAGACACTAACCCCCATCACTGCCTGTACTGAGGCTGTGGGATCACATCACTTAGGACTTCTGTGAGTTCCGACTGTCACGTTTTGGTAAGCAGCTTGAGGATATGCTTTTGTGGAAACACTATTCTTGCGACAACATATGTGTTTTGTATTGCTTTGCTCTCTGGTAAGAAGCCACTGAAAAGGAAACCATCTTATTAAAAGAGGCACTATAGTGAACTTCTACCTCCATCACTCAGTTTTGAATCTGTTTATAAGTTTGTCTCTCCCACTGGATTCACTGAAGTCAAGGACTGTATATTTGATCTTTGTATCCTCATTGCCTAGAAGAGTACTTGGCACAGAGTGAGTGCTCAGAATGTGGAATGAATGAATGAATGCATAAAGAAATGGATCAATACATTTGTGTTGAGTGTATATATAACTGTAACCTCTACAGTAGTGTATGTAGGATAATTTTCCAACAGGTTTTGTGGAATACCAGAGTATATTACAGTATTAGGAAGCATTATTTATGCTATTAGGCTAAGATACTGCCCCAAATCATCACATTTATTAACAAAAATTTAGGGCTTAGGGCTGGGGATGTAGCTCCGTGGTACAGCACTTGCCAAGCATTTCTGAAGTCCTGGGTTTGATTCCTGGCATCATGAAAAGATAATAAATTTTTAAAATTAGGATTTAGAGTGTAAGTAAATATTAACTGGGAAAATTTCCAGAGTGAGCCCAATTTCAATAATGTTTTTAAGAATGCTATAAAATATTCCCAAAAGCCTTTTGTTATTCATGGCATAGGTTATTTTAAAGAAAGAACAGTAGCCCTTTGTACCTATCTCAGGTTTGTTGTATTTATTGGATTCTATACAATTCCATTCTACCCGTTTATTGTCTCATTCTTTTTTTTTTTTAAAGAGAGAG